TATACATATATATACTAATACTATATCTATATGTCTCTCTGTTTTTCTCTGCGTTCGCAGCAACTACCACAAGCAGGACGAGAGCAGTCGTTACAACCCGCCCGGGTGCGTAGTCTGCTGGCATCGTGTTCTCGCCTTCGACTACTGGCGCAAGGGTGTGCTGTACACCGCATTTGGCGCCATCTGCTTCGCGCAGCCCTACGTCGTCTGGGAGGCGCTCATCAATGGTACGTTGCCACGGAGACCGCCGGGTCGTATTTTGCGTTCCTTTTTTTTTCTTAATGGTTGCGTCGAACCCGTGGCATTAGTTCATTAGAAGTTTTATTTCGTTAGAACTTTCGTTTTAGCTCTTTCGTTCTAGGTGTATGGTTAGGGTTAGTTCTAGAGGTGGGGTCAAGGTTAGTTCACGGGGAAAAATTAGGTTTAGGGTTAGGTGGTAGGGTTAATGGTTAGCACTGACAGTGTTAGGTGGCAGCGTTTAGAGCTGACAATAATGTAAGAAATCCCGCACCTATTCTACGCACGTTCTCTTGTTCTCACGCTGTTTTCTCGTCGCGCAGGCGTCATGCTGCTCATCCTCGCCGTCATTCACTTCATCAGAACAATGGAGACGCGGTACATAAACAGAAGAACGTCCGAGCTCGATAAACCCACTTATGACAGGTAAGCTGCGGTGGCGCCACCTGATGGCAAGGACCGCATGTTGCCATATAACGTGTTGCATATAATATAATATTGCAATATAACATTGTGTTGCTACACAATGTTACCACGCGATGCTACACAATGTTACCACGCGATGCTACACAATGTTACCACGCAACGCTACAAACAACACACGATGATTCGTCCGACGACGGGATGCGAAAGTCGAGTGCCATTTCTCACGTTATGTCATATCGTACATCCATCAAGTGTCGAAACGCGCAGGCAAAATTGGTAGCATTCGAGTGGTCAACATTCGTATAGCAATCGCCGTGTAACATTGTATAGGCATCGCGTGGTAACATTGTATAGCAATCCCGCGTGTAACATTGGTATGCATCGCGTGTAACCCATTGTGTAGGGCAGTCTCGCTGGTAAAGCATTGTGTAGCATCGCGGTAACATTGTGTAGCACGCGTGAACACTCGTTCTCATCGCTGTGGACAACATGGTAACGTCGTGGTAACATTGTATAGCCGCGTGCAACATGTGTAGCCAATCGCGTGGCAACATTTGTCCACGCGTGGTAACTATGTGAGTGCATTGCGTGCAAGTCGTTCTTCGATTGTGAATAGCATTCGCGTAACATGTGTACAGCGTGTACCACTTGTAAGGCATGCGTGCAACATTGTGTACATCGGCGTGGCAACATTCTGTAGCATCGCTTGCAACATTGTATATGCATCGCGGCAATCATTTGTGTATGCCATTGCGTGTAAATTGTAATAGGCAATCGCGTGTTAGCATGTGGTAACATCCGTGGCAACATTTTGCTAGCAATTCGCGTGTAGACATTGTGTAGCACTCGCTGCAACATTGTGAGCATCGCGTGTAAACATTGGTAGCATCGCGTGGTAATATGTGTAGCACGCGTGTACATTGTGTAGCATCGCGTGTGTAATATTTGTGTGCATCGCATTGCAACATTGTGTATGGCATCGGTGGTAATATTGGAGCCTATCCGTGCAACATGTGTAGCATCGCGTGGTAACATTGTGTAGCATCGCGTGTAACATGTTACATCGCTGGCAACATTGTGTAGCATCGCGTGCAACATTGATAGCAATCGCGTGCAATCATTGTGTACATCGCGTGACAACATTGTATAAGCATCGCTGGTAACATTGTGTACATCGCGTGGCAACATTGTGTAGGCATCGAGGGCAACATGTAGCACGCGTGCAACATGTGTAAGCATCGCGTTGTAACATTGTACATAGCATCGGCGTGCAAACATGTGTAGCATGCGTGGTAACATGTGTAGCATCGCGGCAACATTGTTAGCATCGTGTGGTAACATTTGCTGTAGCATTGCGTGGAAAACATTGTGTAGGACATCGGGTGGGTGGTCAAATTGTGTAGCATCGCGTGTAACATTTGTGTAGCATTGCGTGTCAACATTGTGTAGCATCGCGTGGTAACATGTGTAGCGCAGCTGCTGGTAACATTGTGTAGCATCCCGCGTATACATTGGAGCGTGCGTGGTAACATGGTGTAGCATCGCGTGTAACATTGGTGTAGCATCGCGTGGTAATTATGTGAGCATCGCCGTGACAACATTGTAGCCATCGCGTGGTAAACATGTAATAGGCAGTCCGCGTGCACATTGTGTACATCGCGTGGCAAACATTGTGTAGCATTGCGTGGCACATGTGTAGCATTGCGTGGAACATTGGTGTAGGCATCCGGGTAACATTGGTAGCATCGAGTGCAACATTGTGTAGCACTCTGTGTAACATGGTAGCATCGCGTGGTAACACTTGTGTACATCGCGTGGCAACAATTGCCAGCCTTTCCCATTTTTAAGAGGCGCGATCGCAGCTGCATATGCGCTCCACCGCGCACACATAAATGCGCCATGTGCGCCGCATATCATCGAGCTCATAAAAGTGTTGAAATCGCGCCACCAAAAGTCTGTGTATTATGTGAAGATAGGCTCCCATTTTACCGGGATGAGATCTTCCGCGGATGCCCGCGGGAAACCGCGATTTCACAGTCCAGATCGATTTTGTGAAAACGTCTAAACCGTTGAGCAGAAAATTTTAGGGTGGTTAGAATGTACATTAAATTTTTCATTTACAGTCCAACAGCCTACAACAGTACCATCATTAATACCATATTGTAATATAAGTGCTTAGCAATAAGAACACGGCTTAGTTCACTGTTTGAGATGTGTCAACGTTAGCCAGTGTGTGCGTTTATTGACGCTGCCAAGTGTGTGTGGTTGTGTATGCCGCGCGGCTATGCAGGCCGTGTAATAGTAAACGCGAATCGATCGATCGTCGATACATCAAAAGCCCCGCGTCACGCGTGCCTTGAGCTAGTTTTCCTAGCCCATCAGAGTTCAATGATCGCGAGCCTGGACATGAGTAATCTATTCTATCCCAACCTCTTTTTTCAGTAGCCATGAGAATGTCAGCTTTCATACACCCGCTTCGTCGTAATCTAAAACAATGGCAGACCTTTAAGGTTGATTTTAGTGCAGGCTCTGCCTCAGCCATCTTAAGGTGTGATTTTTAATGAGTCTCTCCATCATGCTCTAAGTGTGTAATTAAGAGCGAAAAGTCCACTATGTGTTCTAGGGCGTCATTAGTAAAGTCCCCGTACTTTTTCAAATCGTAAAGGCGCATTGTGT